TTTTGTGCTTCGTTTCAGGAGACAAAATATTTCGTAAAGTAAATATAGGTATGGTCAACAGATCTTTCCGAACGTTATTCCTTACAACTTGGAGAAATGCCCACGTAACTTCGTATCTCGTTCCGATTCGTGATGAATATACTATGTATGTACAATTTAGACGCTGTTACTCCCGCTTAATAAAACAACAAACAATAAGGGTGGAAATGCAAGTGTGTTGAAGAAACAATTGAAATACAAATATAAGCGCGTAAAAATGCAATGGCCAATAAGTCGTTGTAGTACCAACTATATAATTACGTTAATGTAGTCATTAAAAATACAAGATGAACTCATTGATAAAAACTGTCTCTCGTATAGATTACAATTATGAATAGTAAGTTATTTTAAGTATAATATTTAATTATAATGACCAGTCTTCAGTGAGCGGGACGTCAAATATGCATTAACTTTAAAAATAGACACGTAACGCCCCCGGAATTATAATATATTTATCGTTTCTCTCGACTTTTTCTTAAATATTGTATGCTTAACTCATTTCATTTCGTTACCTTGCAACCTAACATGCGTAGTCGTTAAATTAAAGGAGAAAAGGATTCAATACGTGCATTACCTAATTAAGTTAAGACGAAGGCAATTACCTAAGATAGATTATAACTTTAAAAAAAAAATTCATTGTAAAAGGAAGAACAACAACAAAATATAAGAGACGATGAGATATTACAAAATGCATGAAGAAACGCGGTAAGGGAATAGATTAAAAGGGATACTGAGAAAACAAAAATTTGTAAAAAATGTAAAAGTGTAAAAAGAGTAGAAATTACATATCTAATGTGATTATAAAATAGAATTTATTCAATATACTCTCCCTGTGTTCATAGTGTCTTAAAAATAATGAAAAATTAAATCTACAAGCTGTCTGTGGTTTTCAATACTTAAATGTACATTATCTCTCTATACAAAATAAGAGGAGTGTTTCAGTCCTATGAATGTTCTATAATAAAAACCATAACATTTCGAAAATGTTTTGTTCAAATACTGAGTTCAGTATCGTGTGAAAAATTGAAGAGGAAACAAGTCACAAACCTAACTGTATAAATATTAGGACTCATAAGGATTCCGAAAGAGCTTAAGAGACAGGGAGAACATAAAAAACACAAAACAAAAAAGAATGATAAAACAGGAAAATGAGGAAAAAAGATAGTACAACAACCCTGAGAGGAATTCGTAGTTCGTAAAAATACGAAATCACGACTGGTAATAACAACAGCTAGAATCAAAGTATTCTTTTTCCACCTATTTGCTACGTATTACGTTAATTATCTCTGTATTGAAAAATACTAATAATATTGTGTTAAATATATTATCTGTTACAATTATTAATCGTCAATCATTCGAATAGACCCGCTAAATTTTTACGTTCTTGTCGTCGCCTTGTGTTTTCTTTTTTATCTCTTTGCAAATCCATTGCTACTACTTTCGCTCAATCACTTCAACTACTATACTTTTTCCAGCATACCCTAAGATACATGTATATACAATTGCGGCAAGGCAGCCATTTAACTTTGTATCATTATTATTTTCCGTCCTTCACACTAGAATAATTTAACCATCCTTCTGAGACTTCTTAATTATAATACAAATTAATTTACTCTGCTTACTGATTTCAACAAACGTATTAATTATCGTTAACGCGTCTATAAATCAAGCGTTATAATTCATATTCTCTCAACGCTTTTGTATATACTTAAAAATTCTTTAAATTTATCGGTTTTAACTTTATTTAAAAATTGTTAATAGATTAAGGAATAATAGTTAATAGTAATAATTATAATCATCGTCGATATTACTAGTGGTTCGTGTTTTACGTTTCTTTATTTATATTACTTTATAAAATAAGTTCTCAAAAAAACAGCCGTGGAGATAAATTTGTTCTCTCTCTCCCTATTTAAATTTGCTGCTCTTGCTCTCTCTTTCTCTCCCGCTCTCGCGCTCCCTATCTTTCTCTCCGTATTTGTCTCTCAAGTAGATATTAAATAACGTATTACTTAGAACAACCACAAAATCATTATTTCCATTTTGCTTGTTATTTACCTCGTCTATTTCTGCACATTATTTATTTTACTATTATTTGGATATTCAGTAACTTGTGTGGCCTCTGTTTAATTAATTTACTTTTTTATGCGCGTAGTAGTGTACGTGTATAAATGTACGTGTATTTGTTTAGAGTACGTATGTTAACGTGTTCGTGTAATTATCATAACAATTAGTGTAAAAAGGTTTTTGTTTGATTGAGCTCCCTACTCGTCTCTTCTTGTCTTTAGTTTAGTCGGTAAACGTGTTATTGCGTTGATCCCAAGAGTTTCAACGAGTCGCGTTTGTTAATGTTTCCTCATCGTCCCATTGACTTTTACGTATCCCTGTTTCTACGATGCTACCGAGTTTAACATCAATTAAATGCACCGAATATAAAACCCCGACGACCGTTTCAATTAAGATAAGTACAAGATCAATTGACTTCAACTCCTATCAATGATTCGAAGACTCGATCGCTTTTTCTGAATTCACATCATAAGAAACTGGAGGGTATTGATAAAGATACGTTGCAACAATTTGACAAGAAAAGGATTAGATGCTGTGAAGGGGAACAACCCAATCGTATTGAGATCAATAATGAGGAATCTTAATCAAATTGGTGATCCGTTATTAATTGTAACCTACTGATTATATTGTGACCTCGTGAAAAATTTAAAATTACATTAGCGTTAATACTTGCGATTCTTATTGACAAAGTAAGACACAACGCGACCCGCTCAGTAATAAACATGAGCATTTGAGAGCATTTTTTTCGAAATATTCCTTGTTTAGAACTATGGTAAATCCTACAGAGTAAATACAATTAAGTCATATATTTAATCAGGTAGACTTTTCAGATCGACGCCCCCCGCCGAGTGTATCGCACAAAATTACAAATACCCCTCCCTCCAACCGTTAGATACCATGATCTCTTTCGTTTCTAATCGTCTAGAATTTAAACACTTATAAGCATCATCGTACAATATTTTTTAATTATCGTAGATAGTAATAATAGCGTGTATAGTAGTGCAATCATAATGGTTGCAGTAGGAGCAGTCGCAACAGTAAATAGTGGTAAATAGCTGTAAATAGTTTATAATGGTAATAGTAATATAATAATTATTATAGAAGTAATAATAATAGTAACAATAATTGTAGCCTTAAATGTGCCTAATAATTAACTATTATAAATCCGAGGTAAAAAATAAACTAGTTCTCATATCTGATACATTACGACCATACAGAAACCCATCTGACGGTCCGTGTTCTTATGATAGAAATTTTTTTTTTCCGTTAAAAGTTCATTATCGTTCTTTCATTTTTTTCGCTTTGTTTCTCGTCCTCTTCCTTCCAAAAACGATAAACATTTTCGGATCAATGGAAACGGAAAAGGACCAGATAATCTAAATTAGAGAAAGTCAAAAGCGAAATCGAGGACCTAGGCATTCGCGTGCCTAAAATATTACTAGTGATATGACGTCAAAATAAGAAAAAAGGAGGAGAAAATTATATACGTATATATATATTATATATACACATATATATGCTTAAAAAAACTGCACCCTGCTGTCGTAGAATTATAGATATACATACATCACGTTAAAATGATCTATTTTACACTATCCCTTAGTTTAGTTTATAAGTCAGCCTGTGTGAACACCTTACTTAATTATTTCATTAATTACTCGTTACGTTTTTTCCGGTCGTTTATCCATTGCGTGAAAACTATTATTTTGATAAATACGAGATCGTGGAGGGACGGGTGTCTCGAGCGTATAAGTCAATCGCTGACTTTCCACTAGAGACCGTAATATAATATTCCTTTTAGTTAATATTCTTTCTTAATTCCAAATTACTGAAGTGTTCACTAAAATTATCAACGAGGTGAACAAGCATCGAAATTTGTGCCATCCACTGAGAAGAAGTTTCTCAAAAACGAAATCTCGTTCACCTCTGCTTAAATGCTGTTAAGTAATTAATAATCACCATATTCCTTATTCTTTACACTCGCATCTGTTTTCTTTTTGCTTTGCTTTTCTTCATCATCTCACATTACTATTTCATCCGATATAGTTTAATTTAACTCTTATAATACTTCTCTATTTCGCTTCCTACCCACTATCCCAGTGCCATACAAAATTCGCTTGCACCATGGGTGTTTTTTTTGTTTTCTTGTATTTTTTACTCGTTTGCCATTTTTATATCCCCCACGTTTTACTTTTTAATAAACATGTGGCTTAAATTGTTGCTAGTTTAGTTTTGAAACCCGATAAGATCGTGGGCCGTTCTCACGAGCGATCAATGAAATCAATGTTTCGAGAAACCCGACACTACTTTTTCCCCGATACTCCCGTTTCACGAAGTTGGATAGATGCATTTTCAATGTATGAACTTATTAAAAAAGATATGTCGAAAAGTATCAAACTTTTATCAATCGAAAAACTATTATGCTATGACCGCTCACGAACGACGCTACAGCTCGACCGAGACATTCTTTGTAAAAACTGTTTATGAAAACTCCCGAACGAGTTTGCAATAAATAAATATTTCAACTACGGTGTTTCGATGCGAAACGTAATCGCTTAATTGGTATAGTAAATTCTACAAAAAAAAGAAATAGTATCAAACTTGACGAAAGAAATAATATAACTCCAACGCAGCTAAAATAAATTTTTCGGAACTCCAAAGTATTGTAGAAATATATCCAAAGAATATCTCTGGATCCGAGCAGAAATCTTCACGATCGATTCGCAATGTTGTATGTTTCTGTGTATCTTAAAATATGTAATATGAAATAACCCACGAGCAAGGCCAAGCCATTCAGCGCATCTCTCCATCACGGGTCAATTAAAATGGTCATGAGGTGGGCCACTCTTTGAAATCAAAGCCTTGCTGGGGTTTAGGGGCGCTGGCAGCATACCCACCTTGGTTGCTTTCTCCTCCTTGATACGAACGCTGAGGGTAACTGGTATCAGCGTAATTACCATATGCGGAGTACCCAGTGTAATCCGGAGTTTTAGCTGAGCTGCTACTGGACCCAGGTGCACCTGAGCCGGTGGTCTGACGTGAATACATATCACCTGGAACATTGATTTTCAACCCGTTATCGAACTTTCACACTTACCTCTCGTCTCGTTTATTCAAGAGCCGTGGGACAACAGTCCCCACGGTAAAGATACATTTTTGATACTTTAGTTAATCGAATTATCGATAGATAATCCGATCACACTTTTGACAGAAATTCGCTTTCAATGTGCGCGAGGAATATTCTAATCACACATTTGTAAATGGTAAATAGATAGACAGCAGTACGAAAAAGCATCTAAAATATATCTATATTGCTTTTGTCTTTTATGGACAATTATCAATTTAAACAAATAAGTACACTTGCAAAAAAGACATTACGGATACGTGCAAATAAAAAATGACATGGACAATCACAAATGAAATACTCGAAAGACGTTAATTCATAAGAAATAATGACTAAATAAAATAAGCGAAGAATCATAACGATAGAGGAATACAAACGAATCAATATACCAATCGACATTACCTTTCAATAATAAGCACGAAGTAGTTAAACCAAAAAGAGATCGTTTATAAAATGTAAAAAAAGCAAAAATTCGGATAAACATGAATTTTTAACAGAGCACTAAGAGACAACAGAGGAAACGGAAGGGATGACACTGGGACTGCATTATACTACATTAGAGCAAGTTATTTTTTAAAAAATTCAAAATCTTTATATTCCACTTTACAATGACATTACAATAAGTCAGAAGAGGCAACCATACACTTAACGAATTAGTTTCCAAATACCTATTCTACTCTAACAGTATCATAATTAAAAGAATAGTGACTAATTACCAGTTTCGGGAGGCATTAAAAAACAATCAACGAAAATAGAAAGAAAATACTTGTATTGACTTACATAGAACAAAAAATGAATCGACTCGAAATTAAGAAATACAAAATTAGAAATGATGTAGTGGATGAATAAATGCAAAATGCCGATAATTATATTACGATGATATTCTCTATATCTTGTGTAACAATCATAAGCACACCAAATATTCTAAGCATAGTTCTATACCTTTAATTACATACTAAGAAATCATATAAATTGACGTAATATACAATTGTCGTACTAATTCTAATTGAATTTGCATTAATACTACGCAAGTTTACGTATATAATTTATACAATCAGAAGTACATGCTCTCAGAATTTCATACGCAAAGAAGAAAAACAAAGCGCAAGGAACATGTAAAACGGAATTATCTATCAGATAATTAGGCGAATGAATAAATGTGCAAATATAGGTAGCAAGGAGCTATAGAGGAGCTTATACATAGGACACAAATTTTATTTATATTCAATAAAAATAAATTCTTTCCTTCGATTACAACATCATTAAATTCTTCAGTATCCTCCTTCCTCCAACCCTTATGCATGAAAAGCTCATTCCTTGGTGAACTCCGTTAGTTAATTACAATTAATTGTGTGTTAACAAACACAGACATCATTGAACAGTCTCCACATTCTCGAACGATTAAAAAAAACATTCGATGGTACAATAATATTTTCGCAACAAAAAAATACTGTTAATAAGCGAAGCATGATATTGACTGTATCACGCCAAATTACAATTTTCATGCTTGTCTGCCGCGTGCTTAATAAATCGTTAATAGATATAAAGATCATTCTGGTCGCAAACGTGTATGACAATAAAAATTCTCTACTAGACTAATTATTCCAAAAAAGTTTTGTTTTTAATTCGGACAGAGAGAAACAGGCAGAAGAGAAAATCAGGAGACCATGAAATAATAAATACAAGTTACAGACAGACTCGATTAAGTAAAAATGGAGCTGTATGATGCGAAAGGGTGAAAAGAGGAAAGAGTTTGTTTGACTGAGCTTGAAGACTCACCCTGCGGGCCAGAGGGGTTCGAGTTGGAGTTAGGCTGCGAGGAATTGGGCTGAGGGGGCTGAGGTGGTGGTTGGGTCCCAGGAGGGGGCCCGTTCTGTGGCATGTTCCAGGAGTTCCAGGAACCCCCGGGCCCGCCCCCCGCAGCCCCGCCAGTACCCGCCGTGGGCCCATAACCCCCTGAAGCGGCCGCTGCCGGCCCACCTGCGATCATTAACCACGTGTCACCAATCACCGTCTTCTCTAAAGCTTCTTCTTATTAAATTGATCGACCACTTTAGTGCCAAGCACGACGTACATATTATACAATTACTAAACGATGTACACTTATGGTCGAGAAAATTTTGAAAATTAATCATTCAAATAGTAGTTTTATCATTAGAAACATTACTGAAGAAGGAATGGATGCTTTATACAACGAATAAACTTAGTGGAGACTGAATAACACAGATTGAAGAGAGTTTATCGTATCGTTATGGATCTTTTATTCAAAAGTACTTAAATTATTTTGTTGTATTAAATATGATGGCTGAACTAAGTTAGAGACTTGCAATTTTCATCAGTCGTGACCATCTTGGCACTGAAGTGATACTTTATTCACTTATACAATATTTCTTGGTGGCACTAATATTCAATGTCGTTTGATTTAGAATGTACATGTTTGCTCGTCTCGATAGGTAAATCGTCGAGTCACTGCGATAAAAATACATGTATAATACAAAGATATATTGCACATGTTTTGTGAGTCTACGACTTTTGAACACGGATTTAATTTTCATAGATTTTCTCTCTTAGGAAAATAAGCATGAACTTCATAGATGATAGAATAATGAGATTTAATGATTGGACTGATACTCAATGAACAAAAAAACAAACAAAAAACTGTGAAAATTTGAAACAATAAGAAGAATTCGAAGCAATGATTAATGAATCCGTTTTGATATAATTTCGATATGTGCTTGATATTCACAATAACCTATTGTATTTTCTTTCCATAATGACCTCCCTTATCAAAAGAAAAAGTATACAGAAATCTATCTTTATCATGTTTCTATTATTATCTTTACAACTTCATAGTTCTTCCAGGGATAGATGGGAAAAGGATAGGATTGATATTATATTGTATATATATGATCGCAACTTTATTGCGTGTCGTGCTTCAGAAATTAATGACTTATCATGTTGCATTTATTTCAACATTAATTAAAATCTTTCGACATATTCAATACGTACAACATGAAGGTACGTCGCAGGTAATTCCTATTTTATAATTAATGACGCGTCAATTCGCGTAATATTTATTCAAGTAAATGAGGAAAATTCGATTCGCATGAAAGAAGAAATTACTATCTTCTTTAATTTTTGTTGCCGCATTGAATAAATAAAGGCTTAAATCCTAGCAAAAATAAAAAAAAAATAAAATATTATAGTTTGTCTAAAAACACTCACCGTAACTTCCGTAACCTTGAGTAGCTGCTGCGGGCTGGACATTGTAACTGCTACCCCACTGATGATGTGGTGGTGGCGGAATTTGTTGCTGTTGAGGAGGGCCGGGAGGTGCACCCCAACCCTGAGAGTTGTATTGAGTAGTGTACCCAGCAGCATATCCTCCAGTCTGAGGACTGGTTCCCCAACCCTGATACTGCTGCATCATATTTCCTGGTGGACCCATCGGTCCCCCCATCATAGGTCCACCCATCTGCCCGTTCGGACCACCCATAGGTCCCATATTCCCAGCCATACCCATCGGAGGGCCACCCTGTTGAGGTGGTCCCCACTGGCCTTGGTGACTATCATTCATTTTGCTAGACGAATCTCGTGGTTCTGCACGTTTGATTTCAACCTGCAATCAGAAAGAATCGAAACGATCCCTGTAGAGAACTGTCATCGTCTATCGTGGACGACTTGGACCAATTAAAGATACTAAATAAGATTTTCATCTCAATCAGAAATCCTTATTTAATACCTTAATTATTATTTTCTATAACCGTATGATTAAACCTTTGAAACTCGCCAAGTCTTACATAAATTCTAAATATATGCTAAATTTCGACTTGTCACATAACGCATGATACGTATACGATATTCTAGAGGTTTTTCTTGTTTAGATTGATACTTATATAGTAAAAACTAAACATACAGTCGTTAAAAATAACATAGGATGAGAAAATCCTGTAAAATAAAATAAGTACAATAACCAACATTATTGTGTAAAACTATGATATACATGTCAATAAATTTTAATAGCATTCGTACTTATTATTATTTTACATTACAGTAATATAATGTATATACTAGTGTATAGGTATGCTATACCTGTTTTCCATTTAAGTTGACGAAATGCTCGGCTACACATCGGTCCACGGCATCTTCATCCTCGAAGCTGAGGAACCCAAATCCTGTCGTCCAAACGTGAGAGAGAATATCAAAAAGGGCCCCATATATTTATACAAGAAATATTTTTATATGACCCCCATCCATTATATTTTTTATTATCAGCATGACGCTTTATTTATTTAACTTTTATTTTTACAAACTGATCGCTACATCAATTATACTTATCGCGTTGAATTACCATTAATTTGGAAAAATACTTTAATTACACAGAATCCTTCTGCACCAACTGAGTATGCATTTCTTAAAATTTCAAGTATTTATTATACGGATATTTACACAGTAGTATTCATCTTGAGTTGTAACTTTATAGCACTTAAACTAGTTAATTTATGATGGCTGATTTAAAGAAGCTTGTCGAATACTTGATGTAAAATTTACAGACGAAATTTCCACTTTACGGAATATCGTATATATACACGGAATTATAACGTTCTTCTTCAGTTGTTAAACTAATTACTGAATATCTACTAATCCCCCCTCCCCCAAAAACTGTATACCCATTGTGTTAAATGAATGTTTTTCAATGCACATTATTATATTAATTGTACAAGACAAGATTGTTAGAAAGATGCACGGAAAAGTAGTTTTGCTTTATACTTGTACTCATCAAATAAACGAACTTCTTGAATGCAGCCACCAAAATTGAATAGTCGTAATTAACTACAAAATATTAATGTTAAGACAAAAAACTTTTGTATATTAAAAAAGCCATTGAAATTAATAATATTTTAATATATTTAAAAGNACTTAAGGACAAAAACATGTTTTACTTTAATTAATTACTTGTTATCTTTAACGTTTATTCGTATTTTTTCCGTATTTATAAATAGATAAAATTTTAACATAATGTTTTAAATAATGGCTGTGCTGCATTCAAGTCAGAATTTTTGACTACGTACATAGTGAGTAATATGACTGTTACAACAATTCGACTATATACATAGATATCTTTTGTTGAAGATCTAAAATTCTTTCTGTTGATATCGTACTTAAGATCGTATTTGTATAACGAATATTATCTTTTGAGGAATTTCAAGAATTCTGACTATACTTTTGATCATACAATAAATGATATGATCCTACATTGAATGTAGAGAGCATTGTTATTTATAGTTCCCACATTAATTATGTAAAAAAAAAAAATGCTAATGTAATGTGCAACGTATCATTGAATAAGACAATATGCTGAACTTCATTATGATACAGATTGCTGAATGGGAACCATTGTAAACAACGCCAGTATGTCTGTGTATGTGTATATACAAATATTGATCACATTGTACTCACCCCTTGATTTCTTCTTCTCTTGATCATACATTATGACAACTTCCATAACTTTCCCAAAGCGCGTAAAGAATGACCGCAAATCGGTCTCCGTCACGTTGCTTGGTAATCCACCAAGGAAAACTTTCGGAAAGCCTCCACTACGTTTCGGCTTCTGCTGCGTACGTGGATTGCATGGCTTTGGGTCAATCTGTAACAAAGGACAAATAATGTATAATTATAAGCTTCCATGTTTCAAATTTCGATCTTCCTCATATCTGTTTTCCAATTTATACTAACCGTGCGCCCATCAAGCTGATGCGGTCCATTTTGAAGAACTAATGGAACATTGGCTGGATCACTAAATGTTACAAATCCAAATCCACGGCTACGGCCAGATTCACTGTTCTTCATAACAACGCAATCGATTACTTCACCGTAACGGCCAAAGTAACGTTGTAGACTCTCTTGTGTTGTCTCCCAGGACAAACCACCGACAAACAACTTTCTGTAATAAAAATTTCTTTTAATGATTTTCTAGGAGTCTACCAGCGACACACTATACGTTAATCACGTACTTTAAAAATATATAAGAAACTAAATGAACTACGGATTTAATTGTTGATGATCCGAATAATCGAAATATTTCGTAACGTATTTTCTCAATCGGCAATGAGAATTCTCAGAAAAGATGAATCTATACTGCCTATCAATAATCACGATTGTTCGACCGTAGTGAAAGAAAATCACGTAGCAAGGGAGCTCCGAAATGCTCTGCTCTTTCAGGATATAGAGCATAAAAATAGAGAATCTAGAACTGAAGGATATAACGAGCGACGATACAGTAGCATACTTTCACACCGAAATAATGTGCCGAAAATTAACGATATCCTTGGCCATCGTACTCGTAGTTCGTCTTCGAAAAACAAAAACACGTATATAATTGAGAAGAACCAGGTCATGTTGCACGAGAGTAATACTATACAGAACCGGCATCGGTGAAATACATTCCCCTCTCGTGGGAAACTATACATCGCGAACCGCTTATTGCCTGGAGTAAAAAAAGGTTGGCCACGCATATCAAGAAAATCGTACATGACCGTGCGAGGCCCGATAATCTTTTAACGCGGATCAGAAAAACGATTTAAGATCACGAGCACAGCACGGGAAAGTGAAAGATACGAGGTAACTGCAATACGCAAATGGAGATCCCACGCAATAAACCCGACGGTCCGTGAACGCGTCGATCGAGGATTCTCACGTGAAATACGCTTTCACGCGTGCACTAATACAGAATTCAGACTTACCCCTTTTCGTCGTCGTCCATTTCGGTCTTTACTCTCATAATATTTCACTTAAAACTACGAGAATGTTGTTAGTATTAGGGCGCGAATGGGAATATGGCACGATGCTTAGCGCGGACAAGGGTAATGGCTCCCCACAATGAACGCGACGTCGAGAACAGAATGTAAACGTAACGAAGCGACTCGCGTCACTTCCGTTCATACCTAGTCAAATCAGCAACGGGTCAGGAACGGAAGTAGGAGAACGTTGCGCCCTCTGCAACACGTACGCCACGCCGACTTCGTGTTTCATTCCGGCGAACGCGTCACATTTCAAACAGTTATGTTACTTTCGATTCGGGCGATTTGTGTTCACGAGAGAGAATTAAATATTTTCATTTCTAGATAGACTGATTGTTAGTAGGTTACAAACACCGTGTTTGCTAACCATTTCGTTATCTACTAGTATGTTATTCATTGATACAATCCTGAAAGAGATATTGTTTAAGGGATTGAATATGCAACTGAACGATGATTCCAACAATCGGCAACAATTTTTTCTTCATATCACGAGCGAATAGATGTGATCTGCTATAAAATTAATATACTAATTGAATAGAGTAGTGCTTTTGGGTTCAACGATCTGTCATCACATTCGTCGGTTCCCGCCATTTTGTTCTTACATAAGTGGGAAAATTTAAATTGTCTACAATCTGTCAGAAGACGCGTTCCGACGAATGCACTGACAATGAATTCACCATGAAAGAAATTACATTTTATCTATTTGATCGTGTGAACAGGCACGTCTGCGAAGGAAAGTTATACTTGCTTTACGAACTATCGGACGTCTCTTTCCATAAAATATGCTTATCAATTAAGTACATTAAGTATTTCTTAGAATGCAATTCTCTAGTCGTTGCATAATACATAAGATAAGTAGGTTGCGCTGTACAATGCATTAGGCTTTGTATTAGCAATAATTTCATAAGGCACTCAGGCAGAACGATGCGAGCATCATAAAACATAAAGTTTCGTTAAGAAGTTTAAGCATAAGCAAGGCATAAAATTGTACATTGTACTTGTAATACAGAAAAATAAAACTAATTCCTTTGCACACTTTTCCGTCCTCTCATACATTATTTGCACCATACGGATGACCGAGTTTCTTATCTGATAAAATTGCGATAATATAAAACCAACCTGGTTCATCGATGAGACCTCGCCACCAAGCACTTTTAAGTTTAGTTTATTTCTAGTATAATGTTTGTTTAAGTTGCGTCATTAGTGAAAGAAAGAATACGCGTTTCTGTAAAAGAAGCGAGAAAATAAATTTCTCATATCTAACCGATTCTAAACAACCGAACAGCTCGAGGTTCTTACACGATTTCTTTTTATACGTGTAATTCGTTTCTCCCCCTGCCCCCTTCCTGTCTCTCATTCCCCGTACGTCGTTGGGGATCACTAACTTCCTGGGACGCAATAAACTACGTTCATAAACGAGAAATCGTAACGAAAACCTAAACCGAAGATTGCCGCATGTGTTGAATTCGAGGTATCGGTTCCTCTCTTTCGTCCCCGCCCTTCCTTCGGAGGATTTCCACGAGCCGGCTAAAAATAAAATTATTTAACGTCCGCCACGACACGAGTAAACTTTCCTCCTTCGACTGATTCATTCGGCCGAGTAACTTACTTTCATCTCAACCAGGCGCTTCATCGTAGAATTCATCTTAAGGATGTATTGGCTATACAGTCAATTGCAAAAAATTATGCACTTTAGAAACGCATTGTTTAAAAAGAAATCAGACGTCGGAAG